CCCCCCCACAACTCCAGCTTCGCTTGAGACCGCAAACACACCGGAAGCTCGCTCGGACCTCCGATCTCGGGCCCCGTCGACTGCGAGAGAGAACGGCATGCTCGGCGTCACCGTTTTGGGGCGGAACAAGCGCCTTGAAGCCGGACGATGCCCTTCATGCGTTGGTTCGTCGCGAAGTATAGTGGACCTGGGAGTGGATGTTCTGCCTTTCGGGTCACTCGCACCGAAAGGCGTTTTTGCCGAAAGGTTCGTTCGACTTCAACGAAGTCAGAACATTTTTCAGACGTAGGCAGGGGAGATGACTGACCACCAGCTATTGCGAGTTTTGGTCAATAATGGGGAAGACAGATACTTTGGAATTTTGGAGAGACCTGCTGCATCCAAGGCTATAGGGCGACCTATACCTTGTACGAAATGACCTTTGCCGGTGGCTCGGCCCTTGTACGTGTGGCTGCTGGTTGCGCTAGACTTCGTAGCTAGAGGGTGTTTGGCAAAGTTTGGTGACGGGGAGTTTGTTCTAGTACTGAGAATTTCGCCCAATTTCCGTTGGCGGCTCGATTTCGTTCTCGCCCCGTATGACTCGCGATCCACATCGCCACTTAATTGGTCCCTTGCCAGCGACTTTTGCAGAAGCGGGTGCAGGATGTGTAGAAACTATATCGACAAGATAGAGAACCTGAACCCCCAAAGGGGTGTCTATTGATAGTATGATAGCCCCTTTAGAGGTTAAAGGAGTGTCCAATGAACCACCCCTGTCAGTGGTTCGGGAAGATGAAACAAACATGTGAAGGTCCCCTCAGACTCGGCGCTTTAGCAGATGCTAAACTGGATCATCAAAAGAGAACAGGATCATAGTTCCTCACTTATAATTGCCACCCTCCAATGGATGAATGATTTGGGGAAATGGAAATGGAGTCGTCATGAACAAGAAATTGCTGTTGGGGTTCCCAACAGATGGGCAACAGGTCTCCGGCTGGAGAGCAACAAATGCACATCTATAGCCGACTCAGATCGATACCATCGATTTGAGTCGGCGAGTTCCGTTTTGCCTTCCATAGGGACTGGAGTCGTACCGAACCTCAGGTACGGTGATTGGAGACACTCTTATGGAGGTTTGGAGGGCCCAAGTCCCTTCTGAGAAAATACTGGGATCCCTTGCGCTTCTACAGCAGTGCTAAGCCCGTGATGTTCACTGACCCGTTCCCCTCGGCGCTCGACCCGTTGTTTGTTGGAGCCCCAAAGCGAGAGCGATCGGTGCCCAAAGCGACGCAAGATCGGGAAAAACCACACGGCCAAGAACAAGGATGTCTTGCACTAAGGGGTTTAGGGCCTTTTAGGGTGCAAGAGGGTCTGGACGCAACTCCGCATCGGCGGCGAAACGCAGGAAACTGGCCGGTCAATGCGCGGCCTGTGATGGAGAAGGTGTCGCGCCTGAAGGGAGTGAAAGGGGTGAAAGAGATGAGCACCAAGCATGAAGCACATCGAAGGGAGGCTCCAGGTTTTGCATGTCAAATGGAAAGGTTGTTGGACCAGTTTGGTGGTGGCAATGTGGTGTCAAATCCGAGGGAGCAAATGGCTGTGTGGAGTATGTCAGGGTCACAACAGAGACGTGAAAAAAGGACAGCACGGCTCAGCACGGGTGGGCCGTTCACGGGTGTTTCTCCATCAATCATTTTGGGGTTTGACATTGCATGAGTTGGTTAAATCCTCCGGTTGTTTCCACTATTGTGCACTAAGCCCGAGACGATCAAAAACCTGGCTCATCACTAGCGGTTGTGATTTGCTTTAAGCTGCTGCAGGAATACCTTAGATGAACATAGTTCCGCTGTCTACGCAGTAGGTGGACCGGGAGCACTCATAGATCAACAGCAAAGGCCTCTTCCCAGCGCCGGTGAAGCCATGCGTTTCAACGCTTGGCATTACACACGGGCCGGGCACTGTTGAGACTCCTCGCCTTGTGATACACGGGCCAGGAGTCTCCAGAGTCCTCCAGGAGTCTCCAGAGTCCTCCTGCTAACAACGAGTTGTGAAAAAGAATGGACAAGCCTCAAGCCACCAACTCATTTGAAGATCGTGAGAACCTTCCGAATTTGGCACCAAAAGTGAGAGAGGTCCTGGCTACGTACTCGCAAATTTTTATGGAACCGGGCTGCTGGTCGGGTATGGAAGTGGTGGATGGCATGAACGGACACAAAATCATTTGGGATACCGGAAGTAGAAGTGCGGATCATGAATCAAGTACAGGCTTGAACTTGGAGTTTTCCCCGAAAGACCTGTTGGTAAGAGATCATGACTCAAACCCATCGGTTTAGGGGCTCCCGCTTTCCAATCCACACAGAAGATGAGTTCGGAGTTCTCCATTATAGTTGAGTGTGGTTTTGGAACCACGGATGAACCATAGCTGGGTGACCAGACAGGGCCTCCACTGTGTTGACAACATCCAACTTCTGATTTTGAAGTTGTTCTAATCAGCTGCAGGGTCATTTAGGTGTACTGGTACCTTGGATGTGCTCCATCCTAGATGTGCAAAAGCTCTTGACAGTATATATATATATATATTATATATTATAGTACTACAATGTATTACTTTGTGAACAATTTTGATGTGTTTCTATGTGTATATGTGTGGTCAAAGTCTTTTCGAAGCTCGTGCTGCTGAGACCGGGTGTCCAGTCTTGTACTTTTGAAGACTGTGCTTCCGAACTTCAGGTGAATCAGGGCTTTGTGATCTTCTACTTGCTCTACATCACCATCATTGCCACTCGTCAGCTGTTCAGCCGCTGTTCTTCGCTCGGGAGGCGCTCGCGTGAATGGAGACGGCGATAAAGAACCTAATCTATACACACCAAGTGGTGTTCCATGGCGTGAAACGAACGAGGCGTTTCGAACGGGCCACGTTTCAAGACCACAAGGGTCACTCTTGGCCCACGAGCACGATCGGTGGTGGCGTGGGGCCCACCCCCTGGTTGTATACAGGAAAGCAGCCCAAGGGGCCATGCCGGGCCATCCAGGCAACGACGCCTTGGAAGAAGGAAAATGGACCACCAGCGGCCAGGGGAGTCTCTCTAAACCTACAAACCCACCTCGACGCTGCTTTCCACTTGAACGCCCAAGCAGCCACGTGGAACCAGGCGAACCAGGTTCGCCCACGACGACATCCGTCCCGAAATTCCGGATGAGCGAGGTCTTCGCTGTGATCCGGGTCATCAGCGCGATTTTTCTGAAGGATTTTCTGCAGTTTCGCGTGGGAACTGGAGACGGATGGAAACGTTTGGAAACATGGCCTGATTGGCTTTGAAGGTCTGAGTCAGTGGAATACCTTCAGCCTCCATTTGAGCGCTCAAAGCGTCATGTCGATGCTCCAGGTGAGAAGTGGATTTTCGCCAGTTCACTCCTGGTCTCGAAGGGGTAGGATCTCTTCAGATGACCCCAGGCCTTATAAAGATCAGGCCGTATTTATGAGGTACCCGAATCCGAGCTCGGGCTGTCAGGGGTCGGACCGAAACTCCGTTTCACGCAGGGGGAAGAGGGGCCAGCCACCTGGTTCAGTTCTCATATGGAACAAGAATCATTTCTCCAAGATCCATGCAATGGATCATCAACGCGTAGCTTTCAGGTTCCCAAACCCTATCAGTTCGGGCCCGGATTCTTAGGGTTTGACCTCTGAGTCACCAGGGCAATCGACCAGGCGCTCGTCCGGAAGTCACACGACCCGAACGAAGGGTCCGTTGGGGTGAAGCTGGGCTGGGAGGAAAAACCACCGCAAAATGTGACTCCTCGTTGTTCCAATGGCGATCAAGGCCCTGAAAACATGGCAAGTGGGGACTGTGGACACATCCATGAATTTCTGGTTGGGGTTCCAGGTGGACTGTCCATCACTCCTTTTTGGAGATGGGAACGGCCGGCAAACCGAACCCATATCAGTAATATACCCAAGGTCTTCCCTATGGCCAGGGATTGGAAACACCATGGCCAACCCCCCTAGAACAAGTTCTTAGGTGGCTTACGGTGTTCGCTTCACCCTTCGAACCTCCAGCTACCATCGGACTTGGAACCTCGGCACCTGGAACCTCCACCGATGTCCTCGCGAGGACACCGCTCGTCCTCGCGTTGTTTCTCGCCAGGACACCCTGGATGAAGCGCATAATGACGCACAGCAGCTGGTCCTGGACCGGCTCAAAAAGAAGGCGACCGGTGGAGCGGACGCACTGAACCGCCCGGAGCGCTCGGCTCGGCGCGCCTGGTGTTCGAAGAGCCCCGGACCGAGGGCGGTGGGTGTTCGAAGCAAGTATAAGGAGCGGATCAACTGTCAGAAAGATTCATGCCTATTGGCCAATCAACAAACCTTAAATATATAGTTATGACTGGTTTATTCATTTATATATTATCATTTTGAGATCTTGCTTGTCTTGGCTTTGGGTTAGCCGATGCAACAAATCGTTGGGCTGCCTTTTGAAGGGCCTGCGAGCTTCCATGCTCGTGGCTTGCAGCTTCGTCAGCAAAGCTGAAGCTGCTCAAGGTTGAAATGCCCAACCCAGTCGATCAGCTTACCTACAACCAGTGGTTCCGAAGACTCAATCTGCTGCTTCCTTATATATGATCAATCTTTTGCAGTAGTACCATGTGGTAACTAAGACCCACTGGGCAACAGTTGAGAATTCTTCGAACAACTCCAATGTTGCACGTGCTCCAGAACCACCTCCCAGTTTTTGGGCATTCCTCGAGGAAAGATATTACATGATGAATATATCATATATCGGTCCATGCCGGTTCAACAAGCAGGATGTCATTGTCAGAAAGCTGAAAATTCAATCAACCAACACTTTCCAGCACATAACCAACCAATGGACTGGCAAATGGTGTTTGCAGCTGTTTTTTTTGCAGAAATCAATGTTCTTCTATTGCTGGCAAAGCCCGCTGATAGCGCTGCCAAAGAAGATTCTCTTCCAGGGTCCCCAGTTCGGAGTATCTAATAGGCCCTGAGAGGTTAAGGGGTGTTCATTCAGCACCCCTTCTCGGCCCTGGCATTCTTCCCCGAATGACGCTCGCATCACCGCACATACCTGCGTTGCGCCATGGATGCGATTTGGACGTTGCACGTGCCTTGGACCGAATCAGCTGAAGCAGATATGCATGATGCATGTCTTCTTTGTCGCTCCAGTTCAATCAATGAATATGTCATGGGACAACCCCAGCAATTTCCTGAAAAAGATCCCATGCACCAGGGATGCCTTCCTGTATAGACACACTGCATATTATGGACAAGAGGTGTGCTGTACTTCTGTGAAGACTCCTTTGCCCGACACAGGGCTTTTGGTCTCCTCACAGGGCTTTTGGTGCGGGTGGAGGCAGCGCGGCGGGGCCCCCGTCAGAAGCAACGTAAGAAAAGAGGTCCATGGTCCCTACCAGGCCCTACCAGCAGCAGCAGCAGCATCATCATCATTTAATCATATAATTGTGAAAGATTCCTTGATTCAGGGCTGAAGGATTGATGTGTTCCACCGCGGCCGTTTCCGTTCACTTTCAGGCCTTAGCCATACTTTCGTGCTACGCATAGCTGGCAAAAGGGCGCCCTGTCTCGCTTTGACACTGGTAACCGGAGCTTGCTCGATCCTGGCGCGTTCCGCTTTGCGTGTTGCTACATTGCTATAGCTTGTGCATTGGTGTACATTGAGCATTGTGCATTGCATATCAGAGTTGCCCTTGATCTTTTGCATTGACGGCCTTGTCCTTGGTCGGTCGAGTTGGGTAAATAGCTGCGCTTGAGCCCTGGCGAGACCGTTGGTTGGACAGAATTTGCTTGATTTGAACTTTGTCGTATATTGTTACAGCTAAGCTGGTGTTGACAGAGCTTGAATCGGGGTGTGTCACTTTGTTTCATTTACAGTTGCCACAGTTGTTGCTTGTTGCACGGCCTTTCGAATATCGGAAGGATGGCTGAATCTGTGAAGAGAAAGGCAGCTCTGCCTGGTACAAGGTGCCAGTTTGGGATGGGAATCCCAGTGGCTTCCGCGCCTTCAAGCGGGAGATGGAGTGGTGGATGGCGAGCATGGATGCCTCAAGCTGCACAAAATACAATGTTGCTGCTCGTTGGACTTTACGCCAAACTGGCGTCGTTCGTGCTCGCTGCGAGGAATTCTCCCCTTCCGAGTTGGAAGGCGCTGCCGAGGTCAGAGGGGAAGACCCCACGACAGGAGAAGAGATTGTGTTGGAACCCGCTGATCCATGGAAAGGCATTCGTAAGTTGATGTCAGCCCTTGAGGAGTCCATGGGTCGTACATTGTTGGACAGAAAAGGTGAGTTGAGGAAACAGTTTTACACTGACCTTCGACGCAACCCTGGTGAGCGCATCAGTTCGTTCTGTTCACGGTTCCGCACGCTCTACTCTGAAATGAAGCGTGAAGGAATCACGTTGCCGTCGGATGAACTTGGATGGTTTCTGAGGAATCGAATGGGGTTGGACGCCATCCGGGTTCAGCTTCTCGACACCGCGCTCCGCGGTCGGGAGGCATATGAGGAAGTGGGGGCCGAAGCGCTTCGTTTGTTTCGTGACTTGCATAGCGAGGACCCGTTGCACAAGAAAAGCGTTGTTGACAGGTCACCACTCCTTGGTCGTTTTCTTGGACAGTCGCAGTCAGGAGCCTCCTCATACCGGACCTCATTGCCTTCAAGTGCCAGCTCCTCATTCGGTACCAAGTCATACAAGACTTCCTTTTCAAGTGGTTCACAGAAGAGCTTCAAGCCCATGCCAAAGGTTGCACCTCGTTCAGCGTTGGTTGCAGAAGCTCCTACAGAGGCTGAGCCGGAACTCGAAGAAGAGGAGGAATTGGTTCCTGATGTTGAGGAATCAGGCATGTCGTTGGAGCAAGTTCTACAATGCGAAGCGGAAGTGTTAGCCGCTGAGCTTGAAGAGTTGGAACAAGAAGGTGTTGCTCCAGAGTTCATTGAGGGCCTTGAGACGGGTGTTGAGCAGGCTGCTGAATCCCTCGTTACTATGAGGGAAGCTCGAAGCAAGATAGCAGAACTTCGAAAAGATCGTGGATATGGAAAAGCCGCTGCTGCTGGACAGCCTTCAAGTGCGAAGCCAAAGATGACTGGCAATCAGGTCAACGGCAAGAAGTCGCGCTCGAGTTGCTGGGATTGTGGCCAGACTGGTCACTGGGCTGGTGACCATGGCTGCCCTAGTCCAGGGGCAGGACTTTTCAAGCCAAAAGGCGGCAAGCCTGCGAAGCATGTCAGAGTCACAGAGGCCTTGGCGACAGAGTTCGATACAGAGGCTGAACCGGCTCACGAGGATGCTCATGAGGTGATGACAACAGCTCGGTTGTTTCAGCATTGCACATTGTCAGATGCTCTTGACAAGTCGGTTGAAGTGTTTGCAAGTGAAGTGCATTCGTTGGCGTTGGACAAAAAGTTGATGGGAGCTTTAGACAGCGCTTGCAATCGTACTTGTTGCGGACATGTTTGGCTTGAGCATTATTTACATGCATTGAAAGCCGCGCCCAAGGTCATCCAAGACCTCGTGTCACAGCAGGTGGAACAGGAGACCTTCAAATTTGGCAACGGAGGGACGCAGAAGAGCACAGTTCGCTTCAGATTGCCAATGATGGTTGGGGAAGATTTGATTTTGGACATGGGTGTCGGTCGTACAGGTTGGCAGTTTGGGCCTTTTGTTGGGTCGGGATTGGTTGGATAGCATTGGTTGTGTTTTGAGCTTTGCAAAGAAGATCATGAGAGCTGACCATTTGTCTGGCAACCACATCAAGCTGCACCAGTTGACCGCAGGACACTTTGCCCTCCGCCTCATTCCGAGCTGCTGGCCTACACCAGGTCTGGGTCGTTGGCGTCGGGTTGGACAGGATGGCGTTGTTGCATTGCAAATTTCACATCATGAGTGGTTGAGTCGAAAGTTGCAAGCAGTTCATTCCTTTCCCAAGTTCACATCCACAAAGCACGAGCATTTGTTGTCGGAGCACAGCATGCATGCTGCAGATTTGTCGTTGATTGGTTTACCAGTTGAAAAGGTTGATCCACCGCGTGATCTGGCTCATAGGATGATTGCTGATAAGGCATTCAAGTCGACGACGACATCCCCTACCAGTTCACTCGGTCGAGACCCTTCTCCCGAGATCCATGGAAGCGGCACCAAAGCACGCTTCAACATGGCGGCGCATGCTGTTGCGCCTCGAGGCAAGAGTGCGATGGCACGTGCAAGGCATTGTCTTGTGGCTTTGTCGGCGGCCGTGGCTGCGCTTTGCACCCTTGCCGTACCCGTCCATCACCACCGGACGGCAATGGCTTTTGCAAGGCCAACAGATGGTCGCAAATGGAGCTTTCCCTCAACGCCACCTTCAGAAGGCACAAGATTTGGAGTTGTTCACAGCTGGAAACCTGAAGGAGTGCAGTTGGCTCCGCGATCGTTTGGGTTGGCGGATGGCCTTCATGGAAGACCCAATGCTCCTTGGAATGATGGCCGCAAAGAGCAGCAAAGGAGCGGCATCCCGCATTCGTCAAGAGGCCCTTGCGGAAGCGAAGAAAGAGGCCGACAAGGCCATGAAGGAAGGCAAGCAGCACGAGGCCATTCGAACGCTCATTGGACCTCGAGGAGGTCTGCCAACTCTCAAGGCAGATCTTCTGAAGCTGGCGGCACTTGTGGAGATCACCCCGCCGGAGAAGGCTACAGTCGAAGATTTGAAGAAGCTGGTGAGGCCCATCGTCCAAGACATCGCAAGCAAGACGCCAGCAGTTCGTCCTTCTCCAAGTGGAGCAAGTTCTCACCACGAGCCACCGAAGAGTTTGACAGATCGCCCAAAGCCTTCCGTCGCCCCAAGCACACCGCTGACAGTGGCTCCATCTACGCCGCCGACTCTGGCTTCCACAGTGCCAGGAGTGCAGCTGCAGGACATACACGAGCTCCTGGCCCAGCAGGATCAAAAGTTTCAGACAATGCTGACCCAGGTGATGAGCCACATGATGTCTATGCAGGGCATGCAAACAGCGGGACCCATGCAATTCGACCTCTCAGCCATGGACGTTCCCATGGGAAGCAGTTCAGGCAATTCTCAAAGCCTGTTGGGAGCTCATGGATGGAGCACGGAGGAGGCGGAGAGGGCGAAGGAGTTCCACGAGAAGGAGTTCCACGAGATGACCGCGCAAGAGTTGAGCGACTTCAGTCTTCAGGAGAGAACGCGGGTGCAGGAGTCGGAGGCGGAACTGACCGAAGGCCCGTTCTTCTGGAGTCGATGAGCTTCCCAAACAACCCTTGGGCTATTCATCAAGAGCTCAAGAAAGGACAGGCTCAACAGATTAGCCAAGCATGGGAGAAGCACTGTCGTGACCGAGAGGCAGTTTCGAAGTCCAAGAATGAGGTCCTCGAGGCAATGAAGCTTGAATGGGATAGCAAGTTCCAAAGCTGTCTCAGAGAGAACTTCATCATGAAGGTTGAGATTGGCCCTCAAAGGATCAAGAAAGGTCCAGACAAACCAAGCAAGCAACCATTGGTGGGCGAGATCTATACAGCCACCGAACAGGTTGCCAAGCAAGCCAATCTTCGAGGACATCGAGTGCTCCCTTCCATGTCACTCGAGAATGGATGGAACTTCCTGAAGCCCGAAGACCGCAGAGAATGCATCAAGGCAGTGATGGCCAATGACCCTTACTGTTTGGTGTTAGCCTTTCCATGCGGGCCCTGGTCACCGTTGACCAGACTCCAGAAGAGTGAGTCATTGGGAGAAAGGAGAAAGCAGGGTCGCATCTTGCTCGACTTTGCCCTCATTCTTGCCCGTATGCAGCTGAAGCGGAAAGCGCATTTCATCTTGGAGAATCCCAAGCCATCTCTTGCTTGGACACTCCCTGAGCTTGCGCAGTTCATCGAAACAGCTGGAGTGGAATGTGTCGATTTTGACCAATGCGCTTTCGGGCTGAGGAGCAAAAAAGGTTGGTTGCACAAGAAGCCTACACGGGTAGCAACAAGCTCTTCGTGTGTTGCTGATGAGTTGAGGGACATGAAATGTTCCAAGGATCATGACCACCAGCCGGTCTTGGGAGGATCCAGGATCACCTCCAATGCAGGCCACTATCCCATTGCATTGGCCAAAGC